ATTCGAATTGGATTTGAAAATCCAACTCAAAAATCAAGCAATGATGATAAAAGAGAAGAATTAGAAGTTTATAACTTTGATATCATGTTAGAAACAAAAAAGAAAAAAAAAACATTTGAAGAAATGTTTATTGTTTTTTTTTAATAATATGATATGTATAATGACCTATATATAAGTGTTTATAAAAAAATATTTTAAAGTATAAAATATTTTTAATAATCTGAATATGATTTGAATTAGTGTTCACGCCTTAACATTTTCAATTCGAGTTGGATCAATTAAGGCAGTCAGGCGCCGGGACAGAAAAACCCTTTACGGCGCAAGGTTTTTTTATTTTCCACACTGCATCAGGAATACAGCCGCAGGAGAACCAGACAGCAGCTAGAATTCAGACGTTGACTCATTAAACGTTAGGTCAACCTGCAGATATATCCACTCATTCCAGAAAAAATATCCATGAAATGAATGAGGCAGAGCAGAAATGACGTCAGAGAAAAAGAGGGTACGACAGAACATATAGGAAAAGAATCGAGGTAATCAATATTTCATTACAAAAGAAGTATTGTGGAGTGACTGTAGTTCGAAGTGCCTGACTTAAACCATTAAACGAGGGGCATGTTCATAATGTTATAGGGCTACTCTGTTCTTATTTTGTTCTTAATTGTTTCATTAATTTGAAATTTGGAGTCAGTATGGAATTGAATTTAGCCCTTTAAATGTGGAATGTTTAGCAAAAGAGACAAAAACCTGAGGTTAAAAATCTAGGAAATGAAAGAAAAAACGAAGGCATTTGCGGCTGAAATAGGACGATTAAATGCTGAAATTCAGGGATGTGAACAGTTTTTGAAATCTAATCTGGTTGAATTGAAGGGTGAAAACGAATCCCTCGGGGATCGCAAACTCAGTCCAGGGAACTGGATCAGCTTCGAAATAAATTAAATTACTCCGAGCTACTAAATGTAAGTCTGTCGCTGGTTGGATTTTTTTCATTCTGCTGTGATATATAACAACATTAGGAAGCCTAATGGAGGACATCTAAAACAGACACAAATTAAAACAGATGATGCTGAAGAAGCGACTAAAGAGGTTGGCAATGGAAATGGAGGACATAAGGGCGCAAACAACGGCAATGGAAGCTGCTGCTGAAGAAGAGAAAAATGCTCTGTTCACGGAAATTCCTAATATGGTCGGATTTGAATCAACAGACTTTATACAGGACATTTTGG